TTCAGCAGCTGATGAATTGAAAATAATTTTGCCCTCACATTCTCACTCTCTCAACTGCTCATTAAGTCTTGAAATAACAACAGAAATTACACACCGGTATGGTCATGATGAAGCAGCCAGGGTTACTTACTATCAGATACACTGCACCTGATTCAGATCTGCTAAAGTAAGAAGGGAAAATATCAAGTCACCAAAAAGTATGTGCCTTTTCTATTCTCTTCATCTTCAGATGTGGATATTATGCATTTTTAGTGATGCTGCACAGATACGTTTTACAGCTGGTGAACTGTGTTTTAAACCCATGAAAGACAGTGTTACCAGTTTTTGTCACCGTTCAGCATTATCTTTAGATATGTTCCTTTGATTTTGGTAACAACTGACTCTTAAAAGGTTTTTTCTTTGGTCCTTTCTACAGCTCTGCTTATAGAGGAAATCTGATCTTCTGCAGCACGGAAACATCAGCGGTGACCACATCGAGACAAATTCCTTAGGGAGCTGCCTGTAAGTCTGATCAACATTTAAGATGAAAAGTTTTGCATTTTCTTTGGCAGGATGTTGCACGCAGAGTTTAGCTGTAAGAGGGAATTGCTGAGGCAAAAAGGGAATATTCAGGAACACAAGCCTCTGCTTTGAGTAGGTGAGTAAACACAAAGAAAGGACTAATCTTGTAAAGACTTTTCCTTTCTCCCCCTCCCCCTCAACTTCTCAAAAATATGATCAATCGTTGAGACTCTCTAAATCATGCTCAGTTGAAATCCTTTTCTCTCAGGACCCTGGGTACACTGAGTAGGCCCCACTTATCTGCTACAATGGCTCAGCAGGCTGGGAGAGTAAGCCTTCATTACTTCTGTTACTTCCTCTTGTGACAGTTGAGCAGTACAGGGATCAAAGGGAAATCCTCCTGGAACACAGGGGGATGGTGGGAAGTAGGATAGGAAACTGTGGATAAGCAGGAACAGAAATGGTGAGGGAAATTAAAAAAAAAAGAGAGAAGAGAAAAACTGGTAGTGTGAAATCGAGGTAGACAAGGACTGAGAGTGGTGTAAGGACAGTGGTTAGCAGGAGAAAGGCAGACTAGTTTTTACATGCTACAGATGATGTAAGTGGGTTTGTAGAGGACAGCAAGGCATGATCCTTTCGTCTTTTTTCCTCAAATACTCTTGCGAAAAACCTGAAATACCAGGTCTCTGTAACCTAAATATAAATCAAGGCAAAGTAGGTTTGTCTGCACCCTCTAGTGGTCTAGACAGAAAATACGGTCTTGTGCAACAGTAATTTTGCACTATGTCTGTTTGCTGAGACCGGTCATACTTTGATTTTTAGCTTATTTAACACATCTGTAATAACTGTTCTCAGTCTCTTAAACATGGTGGGTACATCCAAGCTCCTTTTTGGGAGTGGTATTTGGTCTATGATAACTCTTAAACTGCACAAGATGGTTGTGTGGGGCCCAGAGTTGTTTGAGGGGGCATTAGCTGGTGTAAAACAAAACTGTGCCAGAAATGTAATAGCCTGAGGAAGTGAATTTCATGGCCTAAGCCCAGCTTCTGACAGCGTTTAATTTACTAATATTGACATACTTTTCATGTAGTAACATCTCCCCTGTACATGTGGTATAGTCTTCAGTCTCCTAAGCGTAAATAGTACAGAAGAATACTTCAGGACAAAAAAAATCACTCAACAGCCCATTCAGAGAGAGGCTGTTTCCTGTCTCCTTGATCAGCTCTCATTTACTTGCTGCTGGAGGACACATGGTGACTGAGAGAACTACAGGACAAGGAAAGGTAGCCTAGTTACTTTAGTGACTGAGTGATGTCCTGGGAAATGAGATTCTGCCTCCGATTCTGCCTGGAAGTCTTGTGTGATGCTGAGAAAAGGACACCTCCATAAGAAAAGGATGCACGAGAAATGCCTGAAATGGAGCTGGTGTGGAACTTCAGAGTTTCAGCTCTGGGGACAATTCCCATGCAGCCTCTGACTACTGGGGAATTATGCCCTAGTAATTGCTTGTCATAACATAAGATAGCAGTACTTAAGATACTTAAGGACAAGTATAACCAGATATCTGCTGCAATTATAGAGCAATTGGATTTTGTCACTTGAGAGTGAGAGCTGTCCTAGTGGCAGTAAGAAGCATGCTTAAAGCACATGAGTAAGACTGTTTCTTCTTTAGAAATACAAGTACTTTCTTCCCAAGCATAGTCAAGGAGTAGGAAATAGTGTAACTCCTCCTCTAGAGTATGCTGCTGGGAGGAAGAGCATGTACATTCAACACTCCCTTTGGAAAGAATTTGAAGCCTTATCCACCTCCTTCCTTGCTAGCCAGATAGTATGCTAGTTACCACAATCTGGGCTGATTTGCACCTGGCCAGTTGAAGAGCAAGCAATGGTCATTAGACAAAAGGGAAGCAGGTGCCTGAAATACTATTCAGCTAAAAGGCAGAAGACTTCACCTTTAGTCTTGTCTTCAAGGACACTATTTCACATTAAGTAGTCACAGGATAACCTCAAAGTCCAATATAAAGAGTAGATACCAAGGCCATGTCCACTACCTGACAACTGATGACTGCCCTGTCACGAGGCTGGTGATTCTCTTGCCCTCCTGCATGATGTTTTCATCTTTCCCCAAGCTGTCCTATCAACAATATTTTATCATGCATCTTTGCTGTGAAATATAGGCAGTACCCAGCAGTTTTGTAGTTAAAACAATCTCCTGCTCAGTTAGTAAGTTCCATGGTCAGACTAGGGAGGCAACTTGAGGCATCTATTTCCTGACCTTAACCGCTAGTCTATCATTTAGATAGGGAAGGGAAATGTTTATCTTCCATCAACCATCTTAAAAGATTGTAGCAAATTATATTCAGTGCCCAGAAAGAAAAGGCAACAGGGAATTTTCATAAAAGAAACCTTCAACAAGAAGAGTCTCCCGGCTCAGGTCTCCCAGTAGTTTTCCTGCAAGAAAAAGGATGTTCTGTGAGACTCACAAAGATTTTTTTTCCCCAAGTCTTCATGTTTCCAAGACTCATTCATAGTCTCCTCCAGATGACCTATGTATGTAGCATGTGAAGAGTGCTGTCTGCACACCGTTCCTCATCACTGACTATTTCAGACCCCATTATGAGTCACCTAAGTCTTCATTGGTGCCTTAATCCTTCCTCTCATGTGACATTCATTTTACAGAGCCTGAAATTCTGTTTCAGATCTGGCTTTAAGGGGTTAAGCTTTCAGAAACAGGCAACAACTCTGAGTTCCTCATTTTCAAATGCTTATTAAAAGACACCTGGGTTTGACTTGCAAAAGTATTGACTACTTCTAGTATAGAATACTTCCAGAATTGACTACAGCTCCAGATATAGTCAATAGAAATGTGGCTTTGAAACAGTAACATTTTATGTAATGCCAAATGCTGTTAGAAATCAGGTCCTAGGCAACTCATGGTCTCCATTCCTCACTTTCCTATTTGTAATACGCAGTTAAATAATCTTCATATTAGAGGAAGGCTGCAAAGAAGAAATCTGTGGGTCTTTTTGAAGCACTTTGATGCCACAACACTGGATGCCACAAAAATGCCTACAAATAAATTACTTGTTTGGTACTGAGGACAAGAGTTTGAATAGTGCATTGTACATAAGGCATAGTGCACTTCAGTCATTGAACAATGAAGAGAAAAAAGTCTATATATTTCTGATGTGGTATTTTGCCTTTGGAAAATTGCTGGGAGGATATTGGTTCAACATAGATCAAATGGAAATGGGCAGGCTTAAACTTGTTCATTTTCCAGCTAGCTGATTGTAAGCTCCTTGCCAGTTTGTTGACGTTCAGCTTGTCACTAGCAGGATCATTAAACAGCAAAGCAACCAGGGGAACCTGCTGATGAAATTCTGCTTCACAGGCTCCTCTGCTGTTAATTTCTCCGTGCTGCTAGAGCAGTAACCTTCCTGAGGTATATGAGCATTGTATTTTGATATGGAGGGAAAAGACATTTTCATAAGGGACACCTTCCCCTCCCCTAAATCCCAGGGCTCTGCAAATCTGATGATCTGTTACACAGCGCTTAAGTAACCATCAAACTGATCAGAGCTGTTGTGGTCATTAGAAGTACATAGTCAAAAGTTTTGCAGCTTATCTATGATTGCAGATAACAGAAGCTGGCTGCTAGTATTGTACATTGCATTCTTCTCTTTATCAGCCCAATTCATGACCTAAATCTGTACATGCTTGTCAAAGAAAACATCTGGAACCCACTCTTTCACTCGAAGATGTGCCTTCTAAGTCACACATTTCTCCCATGGGGCATAAAAATATCATTAACACCTCTAAGAGGATGAAGAATAAGGTTTCCTGATAGGTGTCTGGCTTTCATGATCTCAGCAGTTCTCTGCTGTGCAGATATGTAAATCTGGTCTTGGTGGATAAAATAGTCTCACGAAATAATTGCTGAGATGTTTCATGTTCAGTGCATATTAAATGCTTGAGATTTCAAATAATATATACTTACGAAAGCTTTTCTTTATTTTTTGAAATAATCCATCAACAACACTTCTCAGAGAAACTAACAGGACAAGGCGCAGTTTTATGTGTTACAGTAGTCCAATAATTTTGCTCAACTCACATGTCTATTCTTGCTCATGTTTGTGGTCTGTCTTACATGAGTACATGATTAACCCCACATGAGAGATGCAGAGATCATAACTGATCTGGATATCAATAACTTGAAAATGCTTACACTGAGTCAGGTGGATTCTCAGCACCTCCCAGTTTTTGCTGCTGCAGTACTGCAAAAACTAACTTTGAAGATTCTCACAGCAGTGCCTGGGGATCACTTTTTATACAGGGAACACCAGCATGTGGAAAGGTTATTCCTATGCCAGTCAGCAGGAGGAGAACAAAGAGAGACAAATTGTACTGCAAAAATACCAGCTCCTTCGGTTGTGCCTACTCTTCTGGCTGCTCTGACTTGTCTCTGGGACTAGTGTAGTCATGAGTGTAGAAGGAAAAATAGGTCGTCAGAAGCATCTTTGCCTACTTCTAAAGAGCATGGGGGCACCTGGGATTTGACTTCCTTATGTTTGAAATAAAAATACGTAGTGTTGCAGCTTGCCATTACCAACAGTTTGACGGTTTGGACCAATATGCTGTAGCTGTAAATGCTCCCCTACCCCCACTTGCTTCAGCAAAGAAAAAAGTTCTCGCCTTCTATATATCATCAGCTTAAACTTTTCTAGTAAATCTGAAAGAAAGAAATGAATAAGTAGGGGATTGTTCACAAAGGACTGACCAAACTATTCACTAGAAATAAAGTCATGCTTCTGTATCAAATATATTTTTGTGTCCAGCTGTGGGCCCAAGAGAGACAAATGCTAAATGTTCTTGCTTCCTGTTGCCTTCAAGGGAAGATGCATTCACTGGGTCTTGGCCCATTCATAAATTGGGTCTGTCATGTGTTGAGTCAATCAGGATTTGGTGTAGGATTTGCAGACCAGTTTTTATAATCACATGAA